TTACTAAAATGTAGATAACTTTGTTAAATTTCTGGTATTTCTTTTTAAAATATACCTATTCTATTTTTTATTGTAACTTAAAAGGGTTTTAACAAAATTACTTTGATAAACTGGTTGAAAATATAAAGTGCCAAAATTGGCTTCTGTTAGATTAAAAACAGTCTCGTGGGAACTACGAAGAGAAAAATAGATCTCTTTCAATAACATCTTACCTTACTTTATATTAAATTATTGAAGCGTACAAGGTAGGCAAGAAATGATAAAAATATTTAAGCGGTTTGGGTAAATATTTATTCACGGTTACGATCAACGTTCTTGTTATAACTCTACATTCTATTTCTTTCTTCTTCATCAGACCCTAAAATTCTTTTGATGAACCTCCTCTTCACTCTTCCAGGGTTTCTCTCTTTGTAGAGAGGATTTGCCTTAACCGTCACACTTGGTTGTTCGATATCACAATCACAATCGAATTGATGATAGCATTACTTGACAACTCGCATTTTTGACAGTAATGCCCAACGCCTGTTTGGATATTTTACGTGAGGTTTAACGAGATGTGTCATAAATTGGAAGTCATAAGGTCTTTCTGGCATTTCTACATTCGCCTCTCAAACGGGGAGAAATAGGGTGATAAATTTTTTTACGCTGCCACCATAACTACTATTTTTTAAAAGTGTGTGGTGCCTCATAAGTGTTTTCACAGAGCACGCTGTGGAAGCTCTTAAGGTACTTCTTTTTCCATTTTAGTTGACAAATATAATCATAACTACTAGTCATATTAACACATTTTGACGTCAAACTCCTCAGTCCCCCCGCGACCACGTGTGCTGTAAAGTAATCGAAACGTCACGCTCTCACAAAATACCAGCGTAAAATAGCAGCTTATTACTGCTGTGTTTCGTATGGTGAGTGTAGAGATCCGGAGACCCTTTTTTACCGGAAACAAGGCATTCCATCATAGTTCTCAGAGGTGACAAAGTATCTGCGTTTTGATACTTAATCGAGGATAAATCTATGAGTCTCAATATCTACTTAACATCAGGTGGACTATGTGCTCGTTTGTCACCCTTATTATATAAAAAAAAACAATAAAATCTGTAAAAACTAGTTTTTTAACGGCTTTGTAATTGGGATAAAGAAAAGGCTGTAGACTAATATTAATAAAAGTAATCAATTGATTTAATTCTATTTGACAATTCACATACATAATGTTTTGTTTGTTTTTAAGCAGTAAATATCTATTTAAACGTATTAATCTGAAATGCTAGAGCTGAGGTTGAATTTATAACATTTAAAAAGTCACGACTTTCATAAATTATTTTTAGCACAATCATGCCAACCGGTAACGGCCTGAAATAATTCACAAGTCACTACTGACTCATTTTTCTTCTGCTAAACAAAAACAAGATAAGTGCTTGAATTAGAATTAATACATAAATTTTCTGTACAATTCATTGTGACAAGCGAGCACCGCTTGATGGTAAACACTGACTCGTAGGCGACTTCATCTTTCCTCAATTGATAATCTAAACAGTGATGCGTTTTCAATCCTGTGGAGGAATATGGAACGATTTGTTTCCACTTAAAAGGATTTCCGGTTGTCCAGTTACTTAATATACGAAAAACAGTAATATCACGCAACTATTTTACGCTAGTGTTCTGAGAGAGCGTGATTTTTCAGAGTTATTTGTGCTACAGCCATAATACAGTACATGATACAGCGTAGTTCTGCTGTCAATTAAATAGGTTTTATTATATCACTTTATATATATATATATATATATATATATAATAAATTTATTTTCAACCAATTAATTGAACCAGGTAGAGCCATGCTGCATAGTATTACGGCCGCAGCACAAATAGTTCGGCTCGACTGGTAAAGCTTAACACTCACACACAGACACAGAATTACAGCGTGAAGTAGCAGGTTCAATTTTTGTGTTTCGTCGCCTGGTGAGTGATGAGAACCGGAGACTGGAGGGATTCCATACCAATCTCAACAATGGAAGCATCCAAATTTAATAGGTGTATATGGGTCATAGTATCAACTTAAAATTTTATGAACGTACGTATTTACGTAAGTAGTATTACGTGTACTTTCATTTATAATACGAAAATAAGCCTCCAACAACCGGAGAACCGTTCGCAAATGCCAAACCCGAATAGAAGAAGATTAATTAAAGTCGCCACTTACAGACAGTAGAAATAATAATACAAAATTTATCAAAACCATTTGCTTTTTGAGTGAAATTATCTTTTATAAAACTTTTGCAACGTTTTAATTTATTCCACTTTAAGATCCGGACGCTCTATTCAATATAAATATAACTTCTTACAACTTTGAATTATTTTCTTACCGCTTTATTATGAGATTACACAAAAATTAATTTATTTTTTTTCCTTTTTGATTTATGGTTGGTTATAATCGATAAAATAGAATAGAACAGAACATCATCTTTATTCAACATAGGTTACATGTAAAGTTTGTTGTATCAGTTTAGAATATATCATCTTTTAGAATCTTTGAAGCTACCAGCGTTTCATTATTTTTTTTTTATTTACTTACTTATCAATTAATATTGATTATAAACACTTGTAACCTGGTTCCTGAATAGTATAAATTAGCATGCAATTTAATTGACTATTACTTTAGATCGGATAGTGAAACTTTAATTTTAAATGCGTAATTTGATGGTAAAATATTTCGGTATTAAAATCTAAGCTGACATAATTAAGTTAATCCATCTTTGTAATTGATTTTCCTACTTGCGTTGAATTAAATCCATAGCCTTATTCTGGTATTATAAACTTAAAATTCTTAAATTTAATAATTTATACTGTTAATATTTTAGAATATAATATCTTGCAAATATAGTTTTGTTTTATAGATGTTCATAACAGGAAAATATTTTTAAGATTATAACATTTTTTTTGTTTCTTGAAAAAAAATCTTACTAAATTTAAATATATGTTTACATATTCATAGTAAATTGTCGTTTACAATACAATAGCTAACTTAGAGAAAACCTGCTTTAATTCGCAGCTCCACTTGCTTAAAATTATAGCCCAACTTTTTTATAGCTGAAAATATTTTAACTTAAAGTTACAAATTGCTCTACTGAAATACACGTCTATGGACTACATAAAATGATTAATTTTAATTGACAGTAATTTCGTGTGTGACACGACCTTCCCTACCTTAGTAAGCTTGCATCATGTATCACTTCACATTCTGTACCCTCCACTTTCGGTACCGCTAAACTTACTCAATTCCTTGATTACATGAACCTCCGTCAAGTTGGCAGTGAGCCGACTCATTATACATTGTGTAGTGAGGCTCCGATAGATCTTGTTTTTACTTATGCACCAGTTCGTGATATCACTTAACAATATAATGGGTTCCAATGAACACGCAATGGTTGATGTTACATTATTTTTAAAAAATGTTAAAATCCCAACCAGAAGTTTCAGTTTCAGGCCAAAAAAATATTTAAAGAATTTAATAATTATTTATATTTTTTAACCATTATAAACTCAATACAGAGGTATTTAAATTTACTCCCGTAAGATTGAGAGATATTTATAAATATATAATTTCCATAAAATCGAACACGATGGCATTAGCAGAGATATGATATTACTCTTTTTTTCTTGTACTCTGGGTACAATCACGGCTATAATTAATTAAGTCAATTATGACGAGTATAGATCCTGATAACTGAAAGGAGCCACTAGTGACTCCAATACCCAATAATGAAAACTCGGTTGAGTTAAAAGTTCTTAGGCCCATTTGCATATTATTACCATTCTTGCGAAACTGAAGAAAAGTAACTGAGAAAGCTGTTTGAGAAGAGTAGACAAAATTTGTTGAGACGACCAACATCTTGCCTCATTTACAATCTGCGTTTCGCAAAGGTCGTGGCATATAGACTGCTTTACTCGATGTCACAGACAATATACTATATGAACAAGATTCCAGACACAGTACAATTCTAACGCTACAAGTACCCCAGTAGACTATTCTCGCGCTTTCGACTGCCTAAATATTCACTTACTGCTTGTTAAACTGTCATATTATGTATTATGGTTTAAATAAAAAGGTTAAGTGGTTTAGTAGTTACTTGATTAATCGGTACCAATCAATAAAACTGATAAAAATTGATGGTTCTAAAGTATGTTCTCACCCAAGGCTTATTAATCATGGTGTTCCTCAGAGGTCAATACTTGGTCCACTTCTTTTATAATTTACTGTGCTGATCTTGTCAAAGTTATAAACCATTTTATGTACCACTGCTACGCTGATGATATACAAGTATACGTGTTAGACTCACCAGATAAGTTACCACAAGCTTTCACACGGCTTAACGACGATTTGGACAGAATTGCTGACTGATCAATAACCCCTCATTCCCGAGCTAAAATGAGTTACATCGCTAGCCCGTTTTGCGTGACAAGCGTAGTTCTAAAATAACCCAGCCTTGAATTTGTCAACATTTATTTGCTATAAAAATCATTATAAATTTTAATATAATACTTATTTCTGTTTATTTATTATGTCATATTACTAGTTTTAGTGTTTTTACTTCATTACATATACATTTTAATTGTATTTTGATATTAACACGTTAAACGCCATTATAGAAAAAAGTTTTTTGTAAAAAAAAAAAAAAACTTGTAATTTATGTATTTAATCAAGATATGTATGTATACTGTTTTTCATAAGAATCTGCCATAGGGTTCCGTAAATATAACAAAAAAAACCCTTGAGGTCACCGGTGCCCCCCATGGCGCTATAAAGTAATAAAAATAGTTTCCGTTACGAAGGCGCCACGCCGGTCACCGCGTCGGCCACCCACTCGCTCAGTACTGCGCTAGCGCCCGTGAAGAGAAAACGTGAGTGTTCTATGTTGCTGTATACTTTGCGTCAAGTACTTAATTAGTGTGATATTGTGTGCAGTGAACTTGAATATTATGAACATTGCAATAAATAATTAAAAATGGAAATATTTAGCAGTAAAAATTTTGAAGAAATACAGGTGGACATGGAAGATTTTGATTTTACACAGGAAGATTTGCGGGCATTAACATTACTCGAGACTAGCATTATACAGCAGAATGAACAAGATAATCAATCAGATCTAGAGTTGTCGGATTCAAACGAAGAACAGTTGCATATTCCGAAAAAACGAAGACGTTTAATCATCCAAAGCGACAGTGAGAGTGAGTCTGATTCCGTTCGAAATTATGTGACAGCCAATATTACCGCCTCAGATCGTGTGTCAAAGAAATGGTCACGCCCTAGGCGTCAACAACCATCTATTATACCATTTACCGAAACTTCAGGTATGAACAAAGAATTTTCTACTATATTAAAAGAAGCAGACCCGGGAGCTTTTTATAGTCTTTTAGTGTCTGATGAAATTTTCGATATGATTGTAGAGCAGACCAACTTATTCGCCTTACAATCCTGCGAATCGAGAAATGTAAAACCTTCATCAAGATCTCATGCTTGGAAGCCAACAGACAGACATGAAATTAAACGTTTCTTTGGACTTATCCTATACATGGGTCTTGTGAGACTCCCAAAGTTAAGCTATTACTGGAGCAAAGATAAAATCTTAGGACAGACATTTCCACGTACCGTCATGAGCCGCAATAGATTCGAAATAATCCTACAGTACCTACATTTTAGTGATAATGAAACCGCAAATAAATCTGATCGAATCTCTAAGATAAGACCGATTATAGATATGGTCAATAATACGTTTCAAAAGTATTATTCACCGAAAGAAGACATCTGTGTCGACGAAAGTCAGGTTCCATTCAGAGGGCGGATTGTATTTAGACAATACAATAAAAGTAAACGCCATAAATATGGTTTAAAGCTATTCAAACTATGTACTATTCCCGGGTACACCTGCAAATTTTCGTTGTATGGCGGTAAAAATATCGATACCGTAAATACTACGCCTACATCAGTGGTAATGTCTCTTTGTAGCCAAATATTAAACAAAGGCCACACTTTGGCAACTGATAATTGGTACACCAGCTTAGAGTTGGCTTACAATTTACTGGAACATCAAACGCACTTGATTGGGACTATTAGGAAAAACCGAAGAGGTTTACCTAAGGATGTAGTAGAAGCCAAACTTCAAAAGGGAGAGTTCATGGCCATGGAAAACGAGGATGGTATAACAATTTTAAAATGGAAAGATAAGCGGGACGTGATGATGCTTTCTACTAAACATTCTGATAAAATGTCAACAATCGCCAAAAAGGGCAAACAGATTACTAAGCCGAAAGTGATTTTAGATTATAATAAGTCAAAAGGATCTGTCGATATGAGCGACCAAATGTCGTCGTATTCTTCTCCCTTACGTAAAACTATTAAGTGGTACCGGAAACTTGGTATTGAGATTTTGTTGAATACTGCCGTAGTAAATGCATGGATTATGTTTACCGAAACTAGGAACACAAAAATGTCAATCGTAGAGTTTCGGAAATCTCTAGTAGACTATCTAACAAGCTCGTCAGATTCTCAGCAGACTGAGTCAGGAGTAACGGTATCAAGACCCAAACGTTTGAAGCACGAGTTGCTAACAAAAACTGGGACAGTGAGAAATACTAGACGATTTTGTGTACACTGTTACAAAGATATGGTAAAGCAGTTTGGACGAAAATTGGCGAAAAATAAAGCTAAAAAGGTTAATACTTTTTGCGCTCAATGTGATGGAAACCCACATATCTGTTTATCCTGCTTTAATAAGATCCATCGTTATGTTTAGTTCTTTCTAGTCAATTATTGATTTAATTTTTTCTGATTGCATTTTTATTTCAATGGTAATTTTTGTAGCATTTCTTGGATTTTTTCCTGTGTAAGAAGACATTTTTTTTTAATTTGAAGTTTATATTGTTTGTTTTATATTTTTAATAATGTGCATTGTAATAGCTTTAAGATTTAATGTGATTAAAAGTCATGTATCATGAAATTAGTCGCTTTTTTATTTTATCTACAAAAATCTTAAGGATATTGTACATATTTCCTAAAATTTTCTAAGTAGCCACGTCCCCTTGAAAAGGATTACTCTATAGCGCCAAAGCGGTCACTCGCATACACGAAATGTACGACACGCGTGACCGGCGGCCCAAAAAATACATTTCGAATATGCCTCTCGCTTGAGGTCACCGGTGACCCCCATGGCGCAATAAAGTAAACCAGATGAGGTCACCGGTGACCCCCATGGCGTTCAACGTGTTAATAGATATAATATTGACAGCAGCTCGGATTTCACAATTATTTCTATATATTACTCAAAATTATTTACGTGAAAAGATAAATTGTATTTACACAAAATATTTTATAACAATTTTATAGTAAAACACTATACTAAACACTACTAAAACATTAGAAAAATCCAAAAATCATCACAATAACACGTCACACGAAGTAGGCGTAACAAATGAACGTCGATTATATATAAAAAACCATAGACTAACCACATTTCACTGCATTAGAGGATAGAAAATTTCACATCGAGCCTATAATGCCAAACTTCTTTACAGACAAGTAGGCTCCAAATATAAGTTTTTATGGTTTAAAGTGCTGTGGGTGGGTGTGGTCGGATCCGACCGCTTGCAATTTGACGGAATATCAGCGTGGTCGGATCCGACCACTTACATATTGAGAGGATTAAATTGAGAGAGATTGCTCTTCTTTAAAAAAATAACCTTCAAAGTCAAAATATATGGTTGTTATGTTCGCGGATACGGAGCGCAGGGGACTAGTTAAACACTCAACGGCTGTTGATGTACTGCTTTAATTGCAAACATTATTATTGGGCGCGGACGCAGCCGCGCACAGGTATAATACACAACATTCCTCCCCCTATAGTGAGGGTTTTATAATATGTAATACCTTATATAAAAGAACTAACATATATAACATATAAGTAAATATATTTAAAACATATTAAAAAAAACTTTTTATAATCAACCTTAGGGCGATTTCGTTTTAATGGCACTTGATACTCTTGTGCCCGTGATACCTCTTCTTCATCATCCGACGACTGTGGACGCCGAACTCCTCGCGTTATTGTTATATGTGAGGGTGATCGTGATTGGCGGCAAGAGTCATTAGAATTCGTCAAGTTCTCATTAGAAGTCTCAGCTGCAGGCGCAGGTGTTAATATTCTGTCCTCGGGTCCATCCCCCTCTCCCAGCTCGCGAACTTGGTCATGACATTGCGAATCTGGCGGTAATATAGGTACGCATGACGCCGGTGTCGATACTGAACTACCTGGGGTATCAGGGCTGAGAATATCTAGCTCCCAAGGTCTACTTGCATTAATGGTGCCTTTATATAAAATTATTTGATTTACAAGTTTTTTTACAACAGTATTTAACAAAGAGTCTCGTATTAAATATATGATTTTACCAAGTTTTCGTATAATTACGCCTTTACACCAATTGAACTTATTTTTATTCAAATATTTTTTATATAAAACATATTGTCCGGGTAAAAACATTTTTTCTTTCCCACCATGCGACTTAACCTGTGAACACTGTTTTGATCGGACTGTTTTAGCGAGTGAGGAAGACAGGGGCGGCGATGGTGCTGGCTTTAATATATCTAACCGCGATCTCAATTTACGACCAAAAACTATTTGCGCAGGAGATAAACCCGTCGAATTGAATGGATAATTCGAATGGACCGAATTACGGTAATCGAAAATGTACTTTAAAATATTTAAATTACATTCTCTAACATTATTGCAGCTCAACAAACTAGACTTAATACCCCTTTTTATTACCTTCACGTAGCTTTCAGCTTGTCCATTACTTGCCGGGTGGTAGGCAGGTGACGTGATATGCGTAATGCCGTTAAGATGACAAAAGTCTAAGAACTCCCAGGAGCAAAACGATGTTCCATTATCAGTCACTATAGTCTCCGGAAGACCGAACCTTGACATGTATTCATATAATTTATCTATAACTGCGATGGAAGCACAAGTAGTATTCATGCGACAGACTTCGACCCATTTGGAGTACGCATCAACGATCACCAAGTACATATGTCCGTTGATGGGGCCGAGGAAATCGAGGTGTATTCTACGGAAAGGGTCAGCAGGATATTTCCACGGGGAAATATGAACGCGCGGCGGCGCTGCTCGTAGTTGCGTGCATATTTCACAAGAGCCAATCATACGCTCAAGGACGCCGTCAATACCTGGAAACCAAAACCGAAGGCGAGCTTCGGCTTTAGTTTTAACAATACCCATATGTGATGCATGTAGCTCCGATATCACTCTATCACGTAACGATCCAGGGATAACTATTTTATGACCACGCATAAGGCAACCATTTTCATATGACAGTTCTAATTTACATAAACTATAGGGTTTTATCTCTGGATCATTAACTTTTTTTGTCCGTCCCTCTAAAACATAATGCATGACCTTTTTTCATAATGCGATCTCTATTTATTGCATCACGTAACGCCTGTAGGGTTATCGGTATCGCGCCCTTGACAACGAAATTAACGTACGCTGCGCGGTCGTCGATATCGGCGGTTTCCGTGTACCCCGCGTCATCGGCGCCCGGGAGGCAGAAACGCGACAAGTAGTCTGCACTGTTATCCGAACTCTTAACATATTCTATCGTGTAATTATATCCACTTAGAAATAAAGCACATCTCTGCAAACGGTTGGCCGATACAAAAATTGATAATAACGGTTTGTGATCCGTACGTAGAATAAAAGGCGTAGACCTACCATATAAATATTGGTGGAACCTCCGTACTCCAAATAGGATAGCAGTAGCTTCTTTATGTATTTGAGAATACCTTTTCTCGGCATTACTTAACGTCCGTGATGCAAACGAGAGTGGCTTTTCAATACCTGCACTATTCTTTTGCGATAATATAGCACCTAACCCGTTAGGTGACGCATCCACGGTTAGTATAACTGTTTCATCTGGATTATAATGTGTTAAAACCTGTTCCGAGGATAATATTTTTCTTATATTGTCGAACGCTTCGTTTTCTACTTTAGACCATTTCCATTTTATCCCCTTTTTTAATAATTGGTAGAGGGGGGGATAAAATAGATGATGCGTTTGAAACAAAACACCTGTAGTAATTGACGAGGCCTAAAAACGATTGTAATTGGTTAACATTTGTGGGGATTGGCGCTTCTAATATAGCTTTAACCTTTTCCGGTGACTTCTTTAAACCGTTTCTATTTATGACGTATCCCAGGTAACTTATTTCGTCTTTAAAAAAACTGCACTTATTTTTTTTGCAACGTTAAGCCCGCGTCTTGTAATCTTTGTAGCACCTGGTGTAGCCTGTCTAGGTGCTCGGCATCGTCTTTGCCGGTTATCAGAATATCATCAAGTAAAAAAATGTACTCCATTTAACCCTGCTAGTACGTATTCCATTGCACGCTGGAAAATAGCCGGCGCACTAGCTAAGCCGAAAACTAAACGTGTATAAGAAAATAAACCCCGATGGGTATTGATACATGTTAGCTTTTGGGATTCTTCATTTAGGCAAAATTGATTATACGCCATTGAGAGGTCAAGCTTAGTAAAGTATTGGCCCCCGTGTAACTTAGAAAAAAGTTCATTAACCGTCGGTAATGGATATTGGTCTATAACCAACTGTTTGTTTAAGCTAACAGAATAATCTGCACATATTCTGACAGAGCCATCGAGTTTTAATACGGGTACGATTGGGGATGCGTATTCAGAACAATTAACCAGACGAAGTACCCCTAGATCGACCAACCTCTTTAGTTCGCTATCTATTTTATCCCTCAAGGCGAAAGCAATAGGACGCGCCTTAAAAAACAATGACTTGACGTTCTCTTTCAAGGTTAACTTCATAGTTATTGAAACACCCAAGTTCTCCCGAAAACACCTTAGGATAACGTATGTGTAGCGTTTCAATTTCATTCTGTATTTGCTTACAATAATGTATTGGCGTCAGTTGAAGTTCGAAACGTGCAATAAAATCCCTACCGAGCAGTGGCGGGCCGCCATTACGAACTACATATACGTCTAGCATACACGTTTTACCCCGCCACTGAAGCGACATCTGTACACGGCCAGCACAACCTAAAACTTCACTGGTGTAACTCACTAATTTCTTTTTAGTGAACGATAATGGTACATCGTGGAAATGCAATTTATATGTTCTTTCCGATATCACAGTCACCGCCAATCCGCTATCGATTTGAAAATCTAAATCTATGCCATTGACAATAACGGTTTCTAATAAAGGCTCACCCCTAACTGATCGTATATTAAATATCTTACCGTCATCGCTGTCCTCGCCCACCTCACTCGTATTTACGTAATTCACTTTTTTTGCACATTCTACGCAAGTGTCCTTTCATATTACACTTTTTACATCTGTAATTAGCGAAACGACACTCCGATGCACTGTGACTCGTATAACCGCATACTGCGCACTTTTGACGAGAACGCACGCACTTCGAATCCTGACCAATTTTGTATAGCTGGTCCGTGGTGGCATCGGTGACGACGGTAGTGGTGGCTGCGGCGCTGGCGGCAATCGCCCGCGCGCTTCGTACGTTCTCCGCTAGCTCAACAGCTTTTGCTAATGTTATATCCGAAATATCCTGCATATATAACTTTTCTTTTTCCACTCCTGGGAGCATACCCATAATAAACCGGTCCCTCAGTGCCTCCTCCACATTGGAAAATTGGCAGTGAACGGTTAGGCAGCGCAGTCTAGCGGCCCACTGCGACGGTGACTGGGCGT